CACACACACACACACACACACACACACACACACACACACACACACACACACACACACACACACACACACATGCAAACATAACGAATAAACACGTTATACGTGCATATACGAAGATAATTACACACTATTATTACCGTCTACGATAATTACGAATATTGTACGATGATGCTTAATAAGTGTTTTTTAAATTTTAGATGATTAGAGAGAGAAAAGTGATGAGATCATTGTATCTATGCATGGAGGGAGGGGTAAATTATTTGTGTAAACATTTGTGTGCGCTTTTTCTCGGCGGGGGGCGTCGATCTGAAAAGTCTACCTGATTAAATATATGACTTAATTGTATTTACTCTGTAGGATTTACCATAGTTCTAAACAAGAAACTATTTCGGAACGAAGGCTCTCAAATATAGAAATATGCTCACGTTTATTACTGAGCGGGTCGCGTTGTGTCTTACTTTTGTCAATAAGGAATCGCAAGTATTACGCTCTAATGTAATTTTTAAATTTTTTACAAGGTCACAAGGTAATTAGTAGGGTTAACAAATAATAAACGGAACCACAGCAATTTGTGTAAGCTTCCTCGTTATGATCTCAATACGATTAGTGTGTCTCCTCGTAGCGACGATGTTTCCTTCTGCGTTTTCTTTCCTTTTTCTTTTCTTTTCAATTCTTCGTTTCTTCGTCCTCTTGTTCTTCACTTTATCGTATCGCAAATCGTGTCACGTTCATTATATCCGCTCTTGCGTTCCTCCTCCTCCCCCGTTTTTCTTTCCTTCCTTCTTTTCCAATTAGACAACTTCACAGCAAAAAATAAAGATCGATGTACAAGATGATAGTTTCGTCGGAAGCAAAGAACTTCGCCATTTGATCATCGCTGTCCAATCGATTCTACACATACATATATACATCTATACACACATGTACACGTTACACTAATGTACTTTGTATATACTATTCATCGATTCACCATTTCGCGTTTCTCGATTCGGTATATATATATATATAGGAACATTTCTTGTCGTGGTTTTATCGTTGACACCGCGGTGAATAAACTCGAACATCGTACACAAGAGAAAACATAATAGTAAAACACGTCACGTGGAAACTTCTGGGATCAACGCAATAAATCAATCATACGCAGTTCACACACGACTAAACTAAACTCAAAACGCCAAGGAGAGAGAGTGAGACACGAGTTAGGGAGCTCAATCAAACATACGTTCGAAAAACATTTTTTCTATGCTAATCGTTACCGGTAATTTAGGACACGGGAGGCACGCGTGAACGATAACAAACAGACAAATACATACATACACGTCATCACATGCACACAGAGGCCACAGACACTTTTTTCTCATAAACGACGAAATAGAGACGAGGAACAGCTGATTCACACAGGCAACATGTTGTATCGTTCGATTACTAGTGAACTTAATAAGATATGCTATATAAACTAACCAGATTTTACGGTGACTTTGTGGTTATTCTAAATGATACGTTGTTTAAATAACTATCTCGAGAGGCGATATATAAAGATAGAAAGGGAGTGCGAGAGAGGGAGAGAGAAAGAGAGAGATCGTGGACAATTAAAATAGAGAAAAGTTTTAATCTCTACGGCTGTTTTTTCAGAACTTATTTTGTAAAGTAATATAATGAACGAACGTAAACAAGAACCACTAGTAATATCGATTATGATTGTAATTATTAACTAAATAACTAATTGTATTTCTTACCTACTATATTGTCGATTTTTAAATAAAGTTAAAGCGTACGGATAAATTTAACACATTCTTAAGTCTATTGGGTAGATGCGTCGGCGGGAGTAGATCAAATGTATATCGAGAGTACACATCTTTTCATTTATATAGATCGCGTTTAACGGTATAATTAATACGTTTGTTGGAGTCTGTACGCGGAGTAAATTAATTTTGTATTATAATTATAACGAGTCTCGGAGGGATGATTTTTAAATTAACACTAGGCGTGGAACGGAGAGTCACGTGGTCGAGAGAAAGGTATCGAGAGAGGGAGAGAAATAAAGATAATGAAAAGGAACGGATACGAAGCTTCGATGTTTATGGCTGCCTTTGCCGCACTGTGTATATACGTATATTTTAGGGTACGGGTCGGAAGTTATAGTATCGAGGATAACGAGCGAGAGAGAGAGAGAGTGGGTAGGCAATGGGATTTGATATTGAAAAAGAAAGAGAAGAACTAAACAATGAGAAACATAACACACTGAATAATAATACGAAAGAAAAAAACAAGGACAACACAAAATGGCGACGGTAAAGCGGGAAACTAGCGAGGGGCTATTCGAGAAATCATTGACGATTTAAACTAATTGTAACAGATAATATATTTATATTTAACGCAATATTATTAGTATTTTTCAATACAGAGATAACTGATCTAATTAAAGGTAAATACGTAGGCAAATAGGGAGATGATACTCTTTTGATTCTAACCGTTGTTACTACCTGTCGCGTGATTCGCGGGCCTCCCCCGCGAATCGTCGACTTGCTCTCAGGGTTGTTACTGTCTTTGTTTCCTCTTTTCCCACACCTTCTTCTGTTCCCTAATTACTACACGACGCATTCATTATTTCTTTTTACCCCCTCCCCCTCCCTTTTCTTTTTTCGTGGTATACGTCTCTTTGTTTTTCTTTCTTCTTTTTTTACGTTCTAGTGAAACTGTTTGATCGCGAACCGGTTCCCGAGGTGTCGCGTTGTATTTATTATACTTTTAGGTCGATTATCGTTCGATTTTCTCTTCCGTGGAGAAAAGACATAACCAGACACACGTAAACACACCGGTGGCTCGGCGATTAGGCGAGGACAACCCTTTACAACGTTCTGGCTTGTCCCGGGCCGGGATCCTTTAAATAATAATTTATTCTCGAATCGATATAATAGGACTGACTCACTATAATTGTACATTTTAAGATTTAAGTCTCGAAAACCGCAGACAGCTCGTAGATTTACTTTTTCGTTTTATATTTACTCTGTAAGACACACTGCAACGGTGGAGAGCGAAAGAGAGATAAGAGAGAGAGAGAGTGAGAGAGAGTGAGAGAGAGAGATAGAGTGGAACAGAAAAATTAAACAAAACATAAAAACAAGTATAAGGTTGATCAACGAATCGACTGTACGGGATAGCGATAACTTTTTACACTTTTTACATACGTTAGTGATTACCCTTCTTTCTATACAGATACACGCATACAAACACAAACAGAGGAGACAGTGGTAGGATCGAATTCGTTACGACACCGTATCACCGATGTTTTCATCGTGCATTTTTCTCCCTTTCGAATAGATCGATACCATAAAAATCAGCGTTCACCCCAATTTTCCTAAACCGCCTTTCTTTTCGTCGTTTCCTCGTTCTTTTTTTCTTTTCCTTTTTTTTTTCTTCTTTTATACGCCGAATCGATTCCTCGACGACTATTTAATCTACGTTTAATTTAATTAAGCTAGTAGCATCTCATTCGAGTACTGTTCTTTATTTGTTTCTTTGTTCTTTTTTTTTTTTTTAATTTTCTCTATACGTATGAATCAAGTATTGCGCGCGTATAACGGTTAGGTTCGCACGTCTAGGCGTCTGTTCCAATAATTTTAACCGCGAGAGCGACGGATATAAAACGATAAACATAATTATAATTCCGGGGGCGTTGCACGTCTGTTTTTCAACGTAGAAACGCGTACATCGCGCCGTCCCGCTCACTGAAGACTGGTCATAATAATTAAACTAATTATACTTAAAATACTTACTGTTCATATTTGTAAACTATAACGAGAGAGAGAGAGAGAGAGAAAGAGAGTGTGTGTGTGAGAGAGAGAGATAGAGAAACCGTTCGTTTTTTGTTTGTTCGTTCGTTCTATTAGTTTCTTTATTATATACTTTTCGTATCGACGTGTTTAATCTCCTACTGTTGTTGTAATCGTAATTAGTACGCGTCCAAATCCAAACGACGACGACGACACGTTTTTACATCGGGCCACTGCACCTTCTCTGGCACACGCTTTGACCAAGCATCGTTTCGATTGGATGAATCCTCCTTACAAACACATCCGAAATTTCTTCCCTTTTGTTTGTTGTAGAACCAACGGGTGGAAGCTCCGTAGCATTTTTCCAACGTGTTTGGAATAACGTTTGGCCGTAGATTCCCGTCGGACAAGTAGAAACAGAATTTTTGCCACTTTTTTCGAACAACAGATAAAAAAGAGAGCGAGAGGGAGAGAGAAAGATAGTGCGAAAGGGAGGAAGAGAGTGATAACTCATCCAAGTACAAAAATCAACGCTCCTTTTGTTCTTGGCCCGTTCGGTTCGATTAAACCCACCCCTACAAAAGCCTCACAGCTCTTTCACAGAAAACTAGGGCAAATCTTCGCCGACTTCATTTCCGACAAATTCGATGATCAGACATAGTGTGTCGTATATGTTGAAGCATATAGGGACGTACACGCGTGCACACACTGACAAACACACACACACACACACACACGAAGAGAAAGAAAGAAAGAGAGAGAGAGTGAGAAAGAGAGAGAGAGAGAAAGAGAGACACGCATCCACCACACCTCAGACCATCAAACGCATGACCCGAGGATATTCTAAATTACGTTTACGTAGAAACAGTTAAGGAATTAAATTCTAATCGCGACGGGCAAAGTTGATCGTGTGTTGTCTTAGGTGGGATAAGGGAGGAGGATAATATAATTAGCTGAGCGGGAAACTGTAGGGATTCGAGCGCGCTTCGACGGCGCAGCAACCCTATTGTCTCGTTGCGACAGGGGTGGTGCGGCGTCGAAGCGCGCGGAACTTTACATAAGAAAGAAAATTCTAAATGTACGGTTTACGTTGTAGTTGCGAGTACAAAGGGGGTTGGTATTGACACGGCGCATGGGAGCAGCTTCGGGAGGCTAAAGGGGACGGAGGGGATGGTTTCTCTGGAACAGAACGAGAGCAATCGGTTCGCACGGCAGAGGTGTTAAAAAAAATCGAGTCTCTCTGCACAACTCGATTTCGTTTGGGATGGAAAAAAAAGGACGACGATACCGGAAGGGAGAGATACGAGTGGGAATATCTCGCGCGTTCGGTGAATGGAATTCCTACAGTTCGGAATGCTTTGTCTCGAAAAAAGAAAACAATCAGAAACAAAAACCCGAAAGAGAGAGAGAGAGAGAGAAAGAGAGAGGAATAGAATCCGATCGATCGATCTACTTTTTAATCAATATTTTTAGCGTCGAAGCGTAAGGTAAAACTAAAGAAGAAAATAAGAAACTAAACGTAACGGGAGGGAAGCTAGAAAAGGTGTCGACGAATTGTGTAAACGATAATAAAACGAGAAAAATTGTTAACTGTAATGACATGACCTGTATACTTGTAACGTTTAGCATTATATTGGTAAGATCGAGCCCCCCATCCGACCGAGCCGAAACGATTAGAGTTATATTGAATAGCGGGACGAATAGTTCAAACGAGGAATCACGATTAACGGAAACTCAACAAAAATTGGAAGATGACATCCGATAGAAATATGATTGCTTTAGCGACATTTCGTTTCGTTTTCTGGCCGATCCGAGAGAAACAGAAAGAGAGAGAAAGAGAAACCGAACGAGAGAAAGAGAGAAATAAAGATAGATGAAAACAATACGAAAACAAAAGCAGAGATCGGTCAAAAACGAAAACGTATCCGTCGGGGGTTACATGTGACATATAGGGATACTATTTAAGGAGTCTTTACGCTCGCACGCTTTCTGTCCGTCTCATTCCCAGTGCCCCGGTGATCATAGTGAACGATTTAAAATGAAAAAAAAACAAAAACAAATAAATAAGACACGCTAAAATATATACAACAAAAGAACCGAAAATAATAATAAAACGATACGACTCTCTGTACCGAGGGGGGTGTCCGACTTTCCCCGACGACATTATTACACACACGGTCATGGATCAGAGCGGAACTGATCTAGCGTGATCCAGACGAACGTCGTTGATGGCTAATTAAACTATCTGAAGGCTTTGTAATCCGTAGTGAGGCGACGATTCGAAGGAACTGTTCGAGGTTCGGGCCGGACAAAGTCGTACACCCCGCTGTCAGCACAGTAGCAGTAAAACGTGTACCAGGCCAGAGCGCATTGTCTCTGCTCTCCTAAAGGTTTTGCTCCTTAAGGAACAAGTTGAGATAAGAGAGAGAGAGCGAGAGAGAGAGAGAATTGTGGAGTTGAGAGAGAAAGAGAGAGAGTGTGTATCGAGGAGAATAACATCCTACCGGTTTAGGAAAAAAGGGAAAACATGTTGGGAAAGGATTTTACGGTAGGAGTTATAAAGAGAAAGATATTCAGAGCGATATACACAGAACTATTTACGGAAAAAAAGATAGATAGATAGAGAGAGCGAGAGAGAGAGAGAGAGAGAGAGAGAGCGAGAGAAAGTGTGTGAGAGAGAGAGAGAGGATTTTTTTGTCGCGATGAACACATTATAATATTATGCGCGTTAACTGATAGTAACGATTTAATGAACGATGATCATGATTATTATTATTATGATTAATATTATTATTATTATTATTACTATTATTATTATTATTATTACTATTATTATTATTATTATTACACAGAGATAGGAGATGTTGAGAGAGAAACACATGTTTACATGCTATTCTATCATGTATCTATATTATTCATTGCAACATATATGTATGTACACGCACTCGTATGTCTGCTCGTGTAAATGTATACCTTTAAACAACAAAAAAATCAATGGAAGCAGAAGGAGAAAATATATCGATATAGGGGCGTACGTTATTATTTTTCTTTTTTTTTTT